CACACGCACACTGTCACACCTGACTGTACTGTAGACACTGCTAGTGTCACTGCTGTCCCTCTCCTCTCACACTCACCCTGAACTCACCAGCACACGCACACTGTCACACCTGACTGTACTGTAGACACTACTAGTGTCACTGCTGTCCCTCTCCTCTCACACTCACCCTGAACTCACCATCACACGCACACTGTCACAATTGACTGTACTGTAGACACTACTAGTGTCACTGCAGTCCCTCTCCTCTCACACTCACCCTGAACTCACCAGCACACACACACACTGTCACACCTGACCGTATTGAAGGAGGGGACAGGGTTCGAACTGGAAACCTCCTGCTGTTAAGCTGTGAGATACATCCCAACCCTGCACAACGTCTGTCCTCAGCCTGTTGTGGTAGAATCCAGCTCTACACCTCCTGCATCTCAGACCTGCGTCGCCCCTCTGCGACTGGAAGAGAGGTGGAAGCATCCGTAAAATATGTCGTGGACGTTCCTCCGGCCCGATTTTTCAACTGGAGATTTTTTGGGATTCAAGTCTCCTTGGGATCAGCGAGGGAGCCTGAGCCTGAGAATCGGCCTACCATCCTAAACAACAGATCCCACCCTCACCTCCCGTGGGACGGGGGCCAACCACAGCTGGAAAAAAAGCCCGGGATGACCAGGATGAGGTGGGAATAATCCCTCTTCTGCCAGGTCCACCACACACCAGGAGGGGGTGAGGGAACGAATGGCTCCCATTCTGGGCCTGGAGAAATCATTCCGCTATTCCGAACTGTGGTCAAGGATGGGAAGTTAACATTTTATGGACACAGTTTCCCTGATCTCTGAACTTTAGCATTTGTGCACAATCTGCTGCCCCAGTAGGAGTGATGGCACTGTGGCTCACAATCTGCCCACTGTGGCTGGAAGGTTGCCGATTCAAATCCTGTGGCCGGCAGAGGAATCCCACTCCGTGGGGCCCCTGAGCGAGGCCCTTAACCCCAGCTGCTCCAGGGGCGCCGTATTAATGGCTGACCCTGCACTCTGACCCCCAGCTTCTCTCCCTGTCTGTGTCTCTTATGGGGTCTGTGAAAAGACAAATTCCTAATGCAAGAAATTGTATATGGCCAATAAAGTGATGTTTTTAGAATCTGTGCTCTTGTGCCACTGCCTACACCAGCCTGCCTCTGTGTCTGTCATTGACCCCTCTAGGCCTCCTCCTCTCTCTCTCTCACAGCCTCCAAACGTGGAAACATCCCATCTGGTTCACATTGTGATTCTCCCTCTCCCCGTCTTTGCTCTCTCCCTCCTGCTCCCTTTCTGCCCCGCCAGTGTCCTCCTTCTGCTCCCTGCCTCCGCCAAACATCTGGGAAGGCTCTCTGGCCTGTCCTCCAGCTGTTCTCTGTGAGAAACAAGCCCCAGGCGGCTTCGTTTCCTGTCCAGTCCTGCTCCCGTGGATCACAGCCCGGCCCGCTCACTCCTGGCTAGACTCATCTCCAGGCTGTGGGCGACTGGTGGGAGGGTGCAGGTGGTCCATTCGGGGGGGGGCGGTTGTGATTTCATACCTACATGCTGTCCAGTGGAGCAGGAGGTACAAGGCCATGAGACAGCCGGAGCTCTGCACCAACCACAGAGCCCTGTGCAAGGAGGTGAGGGGACAGCTGGTCGCCACCGAAAGGCTGCGGGTTCCCAGACAGGTCTGGGAAAGGGCGAAGCCGAAGGAATTGGACAACAAGCTGAAGGACCTCAACTGGATGGCTGTGCACCAGAGGCTGGCAATCAGAGGTTCTCTACAGACACTCGCTCACCGGGAACTCGCACTGCCCCCGGGACACGTGTTTCGTCGAGGAGACTCAGGAGCACCTGTTCTGGAGCTGCCCTTTCGCCAAAGCACTGTGGGGCAGAGTGGTCAAAATGATGCAACTCCTGGGAGCTGGACCGGTGCTCAGTTACCAGTGCATCCTGCTGGGGCTGCCACCAACCGGACTGGACAAGGACGCAATTCCTGCTGTGGCTGCTGGTTGTGATCTCTGGGATGTAGGGTCTCATCCTGGACTGGGACTCTGGCTGTGATCTCTGGGCTGTAGGGTCTCATCCTGGACTGGGACTCTGGCTGTGATCTCTGGGCTGTAGGGGCTTATCCTGTACTGGGACTCTGGCTGTGATCACTGGGCTGTAGGGTCTCATCCTGGACTGGGACCCTGGCTCTGATCACTGGGCTGTAGGGGCTCATCCTGTACTGGGACTCTGGCTGTGATCTCCGGGCTGTAGAGTCTCATCCTGGACTGGGACCCTGACTGGGATCTCTGGGCTGTAGGGGCTCATGTGGGATTACGATTAGGATCTCCAGTCTTGTCCTAGACTGTGGTGTGCTTATCGAAAAGATTTTATTTGTGGAACAGAGGACAGAGCTGGTCTAAGGCTCTGGTCTAGGAGCTGGTCAAGGAACTGTGGAAGGTGAGGAACACTCTCATCCGGCACAACGCAGAGTGGGGAGTGAGGGAGCTGGAGGAGAGGGTCCGAGCGCACCTCAGAAGGAGGATGAAGCGCGACGTCACCTAATGGGGCTTTTCCACGGCAAGGGAGCACTGGAGGGGACTGTGGCCCCTGTACAGGGACTAATGGACAAAAGCAAGTGGTAGGGCATGGAGGGACTCTTTAATGGCACAAATCTGGCCCCATCATCCACTTGTACAGAGTGATAATGGACAATCACCCCTGTTCTGAAAGTTTTTATTGCACGTTAGGTTCATACCTTGTGCGAATGTTTACTGATTGTGAGAATGCTTTCTGTTGTGAGATGTTGTTTTGGAAAGAACGTTTATTAAAAAACCCTACAAACCTGCATTCAGACAGAAGCCTGTCTGCTATCGAATATATTGTGTTTATTACTGAGCAGGGCCGGATTGTGGTGTCTGTAGGCCCTGGGCGCTTTCACTGAAATGTGCAAAAAGAGGGGTCAACGCCCATTGAATGACATCGATTGACACGATGCACTTTAAACTCTTCTAATGCTAAACCATGTGATTGATGGAGCGAGTCGAGGGTCACCATTGCTTCGATACTTCAAGTTTCTAGAACAGCCGCTAGATCGGATTAGGATTATGGATTTGGAGCACCCAGAGTCGATCACAAGCATGTTGTTTCAGCTCATTTTTCGTTAGCCACTAGTGTTTCCCTCCTTTGTAGGCCCTAAAAATTTCTAGGTCCTAGGCACTGTGTCAGGATTCTCTGTGATCTCCTCTCTCACTGTGTCTCCTGTCCTGCTGTGTGTGTTTATTACTGCGGGTTTCTCTGTGATCTCCTCTCTCTCACTGTGTCTCCTGTCCTGTTGTG